ACAATAAAGTGCCTGTCCAAAGTATTTGCTTTTTTCCACAATATTCACACACTTTATTCTTCATTTTTTGCTTCTCCAGAGGGGGGTGGTTAGCCACTCAGTCCAGCCCCCATTCCCCACTAAATCTCCCCCTGAAATAGGTAATCGTATAAAAACTCGAGCATTTGAAGATTTACACTACTCTTAATATACTCATATTTTAAATTTCCTTTAAATTGCACTCGGCCAAAGGCTCGTGAAATTTTGCGGGGATTTTCAAATATCCTATGCTTACACAAATAAAGCTGACCGTGTAGTTGAGATTTAGGCCTGGGAACCAAGAATGTCACGAACCGGAAATAGAAGAAACTTTCCGGACGACGATCTCCAAATAAGGCAAACGAAAAAGAATGTCTGACTTCGTGCTCATTCCCGCTCGGATCGGAACAGTCAGTCATATTTGTTTTCCAGGGTTCTTCATGTTGTTATCAGTCTGTCTATTTGGGAGAAGAGTGTAAGATGGAAGCTGTAACGAAGCACGAATTTCATGCTACCGCAGATGACGAGCTTTCATTCAAAAAGGGATCGGTCATAAAGGTAAACGAAAGCCACAAAGCTTACCATGTAGGATCTCCATTTCTCAACATCTCTACGTAAAATACCGGAATTTGCACTGCAGTTGGTCGCTTTCACCGATAATCGAAGCTTATTAAGTTCACATTGTTGTGCGATTGTTGATGTTTTAGGTTTTAAGCAAAGAGGAGGATAATAACTGGTTCCGAGCTGAACAGGATGGCCGCACCGGACTCGTTCCAGCGAACTACATCACTCTTAAACCACACCAGTTAGTAGAGAGGTTTACAGATAATGAGGAAGAGTGTGTAATGTGTGAAATTCTAGAACGATGCTATGCTTAAACAAAGATGAGCTAAGTTTGTGTGCACTGTTGCTTTAGACTATTTCTTCCTTTACTGATATAAGCTTATGGGTCCCTATGATATTAACTGTTAATCAATATATAAGCTTACGTTGATACATAGCCGACAGCAAAATATCGCAGAATTTCACATAATTTTTGTTGACGTAGGGACGTTTTAAAATTAGGCTACTATTATTTCCAATGACTTTTCAAG